GGCGGCGCGAGCGCCCCGCGCCCCTCAGCGCGGACCCTTCCCCCCGCGCTCCTGCCCTTCGCCTCCGGTCCTTTCCGAACGCGCCGTGCCCCGGACCGTCCTTACCTCTAGCTCTTGACAGCTCGGCCAACTCCTATGCATCCTTCAAACCCCGCCTCCGGCCGTGCCCTGTTGGTTGCCTTCCTGAGCCTGCGGCCTCCGGCACAGGATCCCTGTTTTGTGTTTAGCCTCCGTCCCCACCGGACCCCACGTAAGGCTTGGCGCAGAGTGTGGGTAACCAGGCAGTGTTTCCTGAAGGAGACTTTCTTTACTTTCTCTGTGCCCCCCTCCCCCCGCATCGGATGGTGGGGACCAAACAGGGAACCAAGCGCGAGAACCCCGCCCCGTGCAGCTGACCCGCTGGTCGCGGCCATTGCCACCCCTCCCTTCGCGGCCTCGTTTCTCCCATGACCTTTCCTTTCTTCTAGCTGCACCTCTGCCTCTTAGTTTTATCACCCCATCTTTCCATGAAAAAATTTCCCGTTCGCCTTAACGTAAAAGGCAGCAAATACTTGTTTTCTTAAACTTATGTTTGTCCCGATGCCTCTGAGTCTTCTCCACTTTTGCCTGTTTTCCCTGCATCACCCTTGCCTCCTCTCGGGCCCCACTGGGTGGGATTCCTTGCCTCTGGCCACCCGCTCCCTCACCTCCCCCCCGAGGATTATCCAGATGTCGCCTGTCCTGGGCCTGCCTCGGCCTCCCCGGGTGAACCTGCAACCACCTCTGTTCTCTCTCTCGCACTTCTCTCCTTAGGACTCCTCACCACCGCACACCCCTCATTTCACTTGACTATGGTCTGTTTCTCCTACTGGTACGTGAGCATGGTGAGCGCGGGTGTCCCTGGTGCCCACTGTGGGGCTCGGCGAGTGGCCCGTCCTCCGTCAGTGTTTACTGAACGAGTGGAGGAAACGTACATGAAGCAGATGGTATAGGCACCCCTGTCGGCCACCGTCCCGTGCTCATTCCGTCCTTGCTGCCTTGTCTTGTTAGGAAGTGGGGCCTGTGGGCCCCAGTCCCACTACTCTCTGATCTTCTGCTGTAGACATTGTGTTTAACTCTGGCCGTGGGCTTCCCCTGTGACTTGACCCCCGTGGAAGGCTGGGTGGGTGGGAATCCATCCTAATGGCTGAGCACAGGCGCCTCGGTGGTGGGAGCCTGGTGGGTTCCCTTGAATGGGATGCCGTGCACGGAGCTGAGATGTCTGACCAGGATGGGCCTCGGGCCCAGGTGAGGTATTTAGAGAACAGAAATGCCAAGTCACCCACAGTGCTCAGTTCCATTAGTGTATAGTTTGTCCATTATGTTATATTGATTCCATTTGAGATGGGATGGGCTGTTTTAGAAGTTTTTTTTAGGTGATGGCTTTGTGTGTGGATTAGGCTGCAGGTGAGGGTGGGATTTGGGAAGGAGGCAGATGACCTAGCTTGTTTGGGGTGAATGGCACCCTTTGGGGGAAAGGCGTGGAAGGGGTGGGGTGTTTGATTCCAGGGGACATGAAATCCACTGTCGAGGGGAGGACGGGCTGTCTGAATGTCTTGATAGATGACCCGGAGGGACTCTTCTGGCGCTGACCTGACCGCACCCGCGGGAGGAGGAGCTCAGGGCTTTCTCAGAAGTTGGTCCTCGCTTTAGCTTTCCATGCTGCTCCACCGCGCCCTCTGCTGTCCGGGATGGGACATGTCCAGCATCCTTGTTTTCTTCTTGGTGGTACCTCGTGTTAACAGAACAGAACTGAACTCCAGATGGAATCCTTTTTTCTAGAAACTAGTTGGCAACAGTCTGCATGTTGGGGTGAAACGGGCAAATTTCGATGACACCCTCGGTCTTGGGTTGTGGATCTTTCTCTCCAAGTGGATTAGTGGAGATGGGATATCTGGGGGTAGAGCGTTGGAGGCAGAGAGGACACAGGAAGGACCAGCCCGGGGGAGGGCAAAGGTGAGGATGGCACGCTGTCCCCACCTGGTGGATTCGGGACCCCTTTCCATTTCTGTGTTTTCAGACCTAACCTCGTTCCCGTTGAGTGAATGTCTAATAAATGTGCTGCAGGCTCTCTTTATATGTCTGTCTTTGCAAACGTATGCTGGTATTTGTGTAGGATCCGGATCCAAAGTGGGGATGTTGCAGTGAAAACTATAATATGTTTCCACTTGTCATAGGTTACTCCCCAAATTGCCCTTCCAAAAGGCATCTTTATTGTTATTTTTCTCTTTAAAATTTTTTAAATTTTTACTTAAGATATAATTGACATGCGATATTGTGTAAGTTTAAGGTATGCACGTGCTGATTTGATACGTTAATACATTGCAGCCTGACTACCGCTGTAGCACTAGCTAAGACCCCTATCACGCCACATAATTATCATCTGTTTGTTGTGGTGGAAAAACCTGCCTGTCATCTGGCCGGCACTTCCTGTGCCTGCTTCTTTTTCATTTTGTATTGAACTTATTGGGGTGACACTGGTTAATAAAATGATACAGGTTTCAGGTGTTCGATTCTATAATACATCATCTGTATATGGTACCAAAAGGCATATTTAATGTCCTGGGTCTTTCTCTCCAGGCATTGTGTCTGCAGTTAGTCAGGTCCTATTTTATGTCTTTCAGTCAAGCTTTAGTTTTCTTCATGTAGGTCTTGCTAATTGTTTTGGTTAAATTTATTCCCATATTTCCGTAGAAAAATGACGACTTCTAACTTACTGTGCCCGGTGTATAGAAAAGCACTCATGCTTTATGTGTTTATTCTTACGGGTTTTGCCTTCTTGGACTCACTGGATGGCATGCTTTCTCTCACCTTCGCTTGGTGGTACCTACTCTTCATGCATGTTTTCTGATGCCTGACTTTGCTTGGTCTTATCTTAGGTAGTTTGCCCTCGAAGGACAGCGAGAAACTGTGTCTTCAATGGCTTCATTGGTGGCTTATGATGACTCGGACTCCGAGGCTGAGAGCGAGCCTGCGGGAAGCTTTAGTGCTGCCATCCAGATGAGGGACATTTGCAATGTGGTTGAACCTCATGGCCAGGATTTCGCACCGGGAGTCCTGGATGGGACAGAAGGGGGCGCGCTGCCCACAGAGCACGGTTCTTGTGAAGACCCAGCTGGCCGTCGTCTCCCACTGGCTCGACTCTGGAGGAAGGACCCAGGATCCTGCCCCAGCCAGAGGCTACAGTGGCCCAGAACAGAGCCTGAAGTCACCGTCCCCACAAGCGAGCCCCCTCGTCCTTCCCTGTGGACCAGCCACGTTCCTGCTGGCCATGTGCCCCTGGCAGCCGCCCGCTTGAAGCAGGAGAAACTCTCCTGGGGAACTTATGACCCCCCTGCACCATCTTTCTGTGCCCCAAGCAGATCTGAAGCCCCAGGTAAAAATGGCAGCTCTCTTCATAAGAAAAGGAGTGAGGACTGTGTTGTACCCTACACCCCGAAAAGGCTGAGACACTTGCAAGCACTAAGCACAGAAATGGGCAGGAGCAAAGATGCAGAGGCACGGGGTCCCTCTGCGGGGCTCCCCCCACGCCCTCTCTGCATGGCTCCCCGAGTGTCCGAGTTCATTCAGCCGTATCTGGACACGCCGTATAAAGAGACCCAGATTTCCCAGAAGGTGCTCTTCTACCTGAGAGGCCACAGGGGCCCCATCAGCAGCATCCAGTGGTGTCCAGTTCCTTCAAAGAGCCACATGTTTCTCTCGGCGTCGATGGATAAAACCTTCAAGGTAAGATCTGAATGAAACTGCTCTTTTCAGATACTCTTAGGACTAAACTGCTGGGCTGTTTTATTCTTCAGAGCAGCAACGGACGTGTGACAGGAGGGACATTTCTTTTGGGGGATTTCTGTGATTCTCATTGTGGCTCGCAGGAGAGGGTTCTCAGTGGGCCCCCTGGATCCTTGGTCCATTCATCCCCCTGCCTCCCCGGCACTGCCTGCCAGGCCGCCAGGGGATGCTAGTCCTTCCCCCTCGTGGGGCGCCGAGGATGGTCTCACACTGATGTCCAGGGAGGATGAGGTCACTGAGCGAGAGCAAGTGGAGGGAGAAGAAAGCAGCCCAGGGCCGAGCCCTGGGAACTCCGGGCATCTTCTCTGACTCCCTGTGGAGTGTTGAGCGATGCCAGCTCTGTGCCTGGTGCTGTGCTGAATGCAGGGGGTGCAAAGGTAGACAGACCTGGTCCCTGGCTCAGGGCTCGCACAGTGTGGTAGGGGCCACAGGTGCCTGGGGAGGCGCTCAGAACCCTGGGCTCAGGACTGTGAGGATGGGATCGGCCAGACACCGGAGTCAGGTGCTGCAGGAACCCAGGGGAGGGACGGCATTCCAGCCTGGAGGGCTTGGTGAAGCTTCCAGAAGGGGGGAGGTGCACTTGGTAAAGGGTGGGGACGGACAGAAGGGCATTCTTGGCTCTAAGCACGGAGGCCTTAAGGGGCTGGTTGAGGGTGAGGCGCTGAGGCTGGGGAAGTAGGCAGGGGCCAGGCCAGGGAGGACTGTGGGCATCCTGTTCGGGACTTCCAGCTTACACAGAAACTTGTTTTTCATTGTTACTAACTTATTTTAACTTACACTGAAGTAACGCAAACTTGCAGTAAGCAAGCCTAACGGCACAGGTGTGTAATGTAACAGGTGTCACACCTGCCTGTAACCTGTCTCCTACCCCTCTGAGCTGACTCTTCCTCCTCACTCTCCTCGGCACCCAGCACAGCACTGATGTGTCGTAGGGGCCAAATAGATTTGAGCTGAACCCAAGCTCCCTGGAAAGAAAATGGCTTTGGCATTGGAGTGATGTGACTTTGCATCCAGCTTTGCTTGGGAGCAGCTGGTCTGCTGGCCTGAGCTGCACCCTCCGAGTCCAGTGTCTCATCTGTAAAGGGCACGGTCATCCCCGTGTCTGTGACCATGTGAGAAAGCGCTTACAGAGTCCCTGGCACAGAGCCAGGTATCCCATAGGTGCTCAGTGGTTGTCTCTCCCTCCCTCTGTGTCCTTCAGAGTTCTGCAGTCGGGCTCTCCAGGACTTTGTATTTGGAAGTTCATTTTCTAAAGTGAAGAAAGGAAGCCCACCCATGGCAAAGTCTCTGACGTGAGCTAAATTACTGGGTGTCATTTAAAGAAAACGTTTTTACTGATTTGAGAGAGAGAGGAAAGGAGAGGGAGAGAGATAGAAACATCAGTGATGAGAGAGTCATTGATCAGCCGCCTCCTGCATGCCCCCTATTGGGGATCGAGCCCGCAACCCTGGCATGTGCCCTGGCTGGGAATCAAACTGGCGACCTTTCCACGCACAGGATGACACTCAGTCAACTGAGCTACACCGGCCAGGGCTGGGTGTCATTTTTAAGCGGCCAGTTTGAGTTCTGACTCTACCTGTCTATGTTTTTTCTAGCAAGGCTGACAGAATTACACAGGGATAGTGTCACGTTCTGGCTTCAGTCTGGCGCCCAGAGGTTCACACAAAGGTCTTTGTTGCTCTTTCTGTGAGGAGGGGGCTCTGAGGTCTGCTCAGAGGCTCTGGTGTCCTGGGGTTCATTGTCACATGCTTGGATCGATCCCACGGACCTGGGGCTTCTCAGCTGTCCTTCCTGAGAGTCTGTGCCCATGGAGGAGGCCATTTGGGGTCTGTGTTGGGTCAGGCAGTGTCTGGCAGGCCCCAGGTGTGGGCTGGAGTTAGAGTGATCTGGGCTCGGGATTTGGTTCCAATCCCAACAGCTTTGTGACCTTGAGCAAGTCACTGAACTTTTCTGAGCCTATTTCTTCCTCAGTAGAACGAGCTGTTGAGCTGTGTGGCTGGGGCTTCTCAGGTGGGACAGATGCCCAGGTGCCCTGTGTCTAAAGCACCCAGGCTAATGCTGGGCACATGGAGTTTAGCGGAGGGTAGTGTGGTTACGGGGGGATACCTGAGGGATGCAGGCAGTCCCTTTCTGGTACCTGGAGGGAGGGGCAGTTCTGCAGACGTTGACAGTACAGTCTAGAGAGGAAGGTTTGTGGGGAGGTCTTGAAGGATGGCTGGGTTGCCCGGGGCAGAGATGAGTGGAGGGATGCAGGGTGGCAGGTGTGCCCTCTTGGGTTCCCACTACTCACCCGTCTAAGGGATCCTGTCTCCTGATGGTGAGGGGCAGGCCTGAGCCCAGCCGGGATGAGTCTGAACCTTACACCAGTGAGATGCTGTGGGCCCTGCTTGGGTCACTGGCCTGGGATGTTTGGATTTCCTGAGCGGAGGTATCCTCATGATCATTTTTGAACAGAGAGCATCTGAGTGAAGCCCCTGATTTGGGGATTGTGTTTGTTCAGTTGTTTGTGGAGTAGGTAGGTGAGCGTTGGGCGTGGGGAAAGGTCCTCCAGGGAGGGCACCTGGGAGCAGCCGGCTGGCTGTGACACCCACCTCGTGACCACCAGAGGGCGCACTTGGTCCAGCTTGGGAAGACTTCTCAGGCCCCGGGGCTGTCAGTCACTGCTGGGGGTGACTCACAGACCTGGAGTCCCTGCTTGCTGCAGTCCAGTCCTGGGTGGAGAGCAGATGGTGGGTGCAGCAGGCAATGAGCAGCCCCCCCAACTCTGTGCTCCCTTCCCTAGAGTGCTTTCCCCTTGCCTTTTGCTTAAAATCTGCTGGAGTGCCTTCTTGCCCCCCTGTCAGGAAGAAGGGGAGAGTATGGGGGCTGGGGTCACAGTACTTCATTTGGATCCTCCCTCTGCCACTTGACTGGCTGTGTGATCCCTGGCAAGTTACTTAACCTCTCTGAGCCTCAACCAGTGTGTGTAAAGTGGAGCTAATGACACGTGCCTTGGATGTGAATCACCCAGCGTGGTGTCTGACACATAGCAGGCACTTCCTGTGCGCTCTAGTCTTTTCCTTTCCAGGAATTTTCTCTTGTGCTCAGCATGTGGTGGCACCTGCGTCGCTATGGAACCGTATCTGATTTTAAACTACTTGAGTGTGGGAATCTGTGCCANCTACACCTTGTAGATTTTAAACTACTTGAGTGTGGGAATCTGTGCCAGGCCCATTTTTACATTCTCTGTAGCACCTGGCACAGAGTTCTGTACATGTTAAGTAATCAATAAAGATTAAAAATTTGTTTTGGATTTTATTTCCAGCCTCTGGGAAAGGACTGTGTTTTAAGTGCATAAACCCTACTTGCCACCAGGGGGCACAGTGGGACTTAATATAAGCAGTTCTGCAGGCTTCTAGAATCTGGAAGAATCCTGGATACAAGGTAACAGCTACTGAAATACGATTTTTTTTTTTCTGATCCGGAGAAAAACAACACAATCCATCTGATTAATCTAAAGAACTCAGAGTACCAGTTCCTTCATCTCCTTAAAATGTAGCTTTGGAATTCATAAATTTCAATTGGGCACATTACAGTGGAAAGATACTTATTTTAATATGTTCTAAATGTTCTGTGAGCTGTAAAATATGCTTATATTAGTTTTGAAAAATTTACAGCTAGAGAAATTAAGCAAAATAAAACAATGACTCATAACTCTGCACCGATGCTCTGTTTTCGTGCCCAGCGATCCCTTGCCGCCCACGTCTGTCGCGTGCATCTGTTTTCCGGAGCTGTGATCTCAGCACCGAGACCCTTTTATGTACTCTTCTCATTTCCCCGTGTCCCCGTTTGGCTCAGCACACTCGAGTACCCACTGCACGTAAAGGTGGCATTCAGACTCCGAGGCCCTTTCTGAAGGAAGAGGCAGCCCAGAGCCTTCCCAGAGGCACCGGGCGTGTTTCTTGCTTCTGTGTGTGAAAACCTGCAGATCTGAAACACAGGATCGTAAATGACATGTATGAATTAGGTGTTGTTTATCTGTCTTATACAATGATTTGCTCAGGGAATTCTTTCAATAATAAGCTTCCTTAAAACACTTAAAAATAAACTTTTCCTTTTTTTTTAAAAAAATTGATTTTTAGAAAGAAAGGAAGGGAGAGGGGGAGAGAGAGACACTGATCACCTGCCTCCTGCATGCCTCCTAATGAGGATCGAACCTGCAATCTCGGGCATGTGCCCGGACCTGCAACCTTTGGGTGCATGGGATGACACGCAACCAACTGAGCCACACTGGCCAGGGTGAAACTTTTCCTTTTTGATGATGAATGTAATAGATGTTTACTGTGAAAAACTTAGAAAATGCAGAAAACATGAAGCATGATAAAACATAAACCATTGCTAGTCCTAACCCTGAGTGGGCACCTCATTAACACTGGGGACCTCCCCTGGTCTGGATTATGTGCCTGTATGTTTACAGAATTGGGCCCACACTGCATAGTATGTGCAGCTTGGATTTCACACACCCCTTCCGTACTATTTGTAAGGGGCATTTTTCTACCTTAATAAAAACTTGCCCAAACATATTTTCATGACTGTCACAAATTCCAGACTTTGCTATCTCCATGTTGTTTCCTATCACGTCCTGCTTTCATTTTTAGAAATCCATCCTATAGTGAACATGGCTGTGTGTAAATGTCCTTTTTGCCACCTTAGTGCAGTTAATATGGGTTTAGCTGAAGAAAGCGTCTGTGTATGGTGAGTGGAACCCAAGCAGATCGGCAAACCTTCAGTACCAGTTACAGCAGACCCCTGGGTTCCTGTTCCGTATCTGCTGCTTGGGTAGCTGTGTGACTTTCAGAAAATCACTTAGCCTCTCTGATCCCCGAGTTTCCTCTGGTAAGATGGGGATAATGGCTACTGCCTATTAGGGTTGTTGCCGTGGAGAAGCAATGAGGTGAAGT